ATAACACTGCCAAGGTGAGCGGGCGGGGTACACTATGAAGCCATTTCATAGGTTTCTCTAACAAGTTAGGGCTGCTAGGTTTCCTCGGCAGGCAGATGTAGGAACCCCCCTTTCCTATGGCACATCTCCATCGTGGCTATACACATAGGAACAGAGGCAGCCCTATACCCAACATGGTAAGCCCCTTTTGCGCCATAAAGGTAACCTCTAACAAGCTAGAAAAGGTCCTATTACTGAGCTAAAGTCAGAGCCATGTGACCCTCACGGTTGCACTATCAGTCCCAGCTTTGATCGACAGATAAGTCCTTATGGAGGGCCAAGAGCATCATGATCAAAAGGCATTTGCTCCTTCGCCCCATAATTCGGTTGTTTAAAAGCAAATTTTACCTTTTAGTGCTATAGAACCATTGGTCATTATGTAGATCATGTTCAGTTACATTGAGCGCTAGCAAACTACCCATATGCATATAACCCATAGGAGATAAGGAAACAGGATACTCAACCACTAGGATGTCCTTACGGGTATCAAAATTAGACACATGCAAATGAGAAATTAATAAATGGTGAATAGGACATCAAGGTAGATCCCATGCTATACTTGCCTTGCTCAACAAACTCGGGCTACTCCTGCTGGTCATCAAAGAACTCTTGGTCTCCAACGTTCTCCTCACCGTCTGAACTCGACCAACAAAGCAACATACAAGCATTCCAAAGGCATTCATACAAAGCAAACAATTATGAGATTAGAACAGTACACCAGGTCATAAAAACAAGATAAAAAGGTTCTTAAAAAGAATCTACGTCTCTCTACGATCACATAGACGTGAAGTTCACGAAAAACGGAGCGAAAACATGAAAGTTATGAATTAAACGGGTTTACTATAGGAATTCATTTAATTAAATTTAACCTCAAAATTTAACTGTTGCAACATGTTTGACAGTGATATTAACATGTAGAGAACTTAATTACGAACCTAACAAAATTTGAACGGTTCGATTCGGAGCTAAAACGATGATTTTATAAGCAAAACAATGCAGTGGCATTTCTGTAAATAGAATGAACTATTTTTGAATTTAAATAAACCAGAAAAATCAGGATTTTCATCTGGCCGAGGACTGTGGGTGTAAAAAGAATAAAGCCCAGGGGCTCTTAAGCAATTCTGCCACGAAGGGGTACGGGGTGTTTTGATCCGTCGGATCAAAGATGAATGGCTCTGATTAGAGATGAGAGGGAGAGAGAGAAGAGGCGTTGGCCGAGAACAGGGCCGGCTCGGCGGCCGCGGCGAGAAAGCTCACCAACGCACTCGGATCAGGGTCTACGGGCCACGATTCGATGAACCAGTGGCACAGAAAGTAAGCGGGGATGAGGGAGAGTCAATCTCGGGGCCTAGCATGGCCGGGGGACACGGTCGGCAGGGTGGTCGCCATGGTCGGCGACGAGAAGGTCCCTAGCGCACGTGAATTGGGCCCTAGAGGTCCCCAATCGGCACGGGACAAGGACGGGGAGAAAGAGGGGAAGGCAATGAAGCTCACGACGGTGAAAACCAAAGACGAAGGCGGCTCTGGGATGGCGGACCGCGCGGTGGGATGGACATCGGCGGTTGCTGGTAATGGCGCTGGGATGCGGGGAAGAAGAGGGAGGTAGAAGAGAAAGGAAAAGGGCAGGCGTGTCCTCTTTATGGTGCTAGCGAGAGAGAGAGAGCATGGGAGTGGAGACATGGGCGCGGGGGAGGTGGGACGGAGCGGTTGCCGCAGTGGCGGTTCCGCCTTGATCGCGCGCGACACGGGAGGTGGGCGACGGCGCCGACAAGCGGGCCTAGGCGGTCAGCGGCAGAGAGAGTGAGGAGGGCAACAACGGTTTCCCTGCTCGAGTTAGGCCGGCCCAAGAGAGGGAAATGGGAGGAGGGGAAAGGAGGGAGGCGAGCGGGCTAGCTCGACCAGAGCGAGCTAGGCCAGAAGGCTAAAAGGAAGGGAGGAAGAAAAAAAGAAAACCTTTTTCTTTTTTTATTTTCTAGAGTTTTAGCAAACCATTTTCAAATTGATTTTGAATCCAATTCAAATTTGGTCAAAATCAATCATTACAAAAGTAAATGTGCAGCAACATGTATGCATCAAGAGGTTACTAACCTTATATTTGATTTTAATTCCATAAAATTTATTATTTCTCTAGGTTTAATGCTCACAAAAATGCTTATTAAATCATTTTATCTATTTGGAAAAAAAAATAACAGAATTTTCAGGGTGTTACATACATCTACCATCAACCACATTTGAGGGCCAATAAACTTAAAATTGCATATCATCCAATTTTTCCATCGTGTAAAGTGTGTGCCATCAAAAATGTGTGGACAATCAACATCTAGCCCATAAGCCGCCATCCTCTCGGGTCGGTGAAGACCACAAATAAGACACCTAGCTCTGATACCACTTGTAAGGTCGAGATGGCGACTAGAGGGGGGTGAATAGTTGTTTCTAAAATATAATCACGTCGGCTAACCAAAACAAGTGTGGAATTAAAACTATCGGTCTAGCCAAGACTACACCCCTCTTTCTATGTTCTCTAGTACCTTGCAAAGATCCTAATTAAGCAACAAAGGTGCCGAGCTAACTAGAGCTCACCTAATCAATTCTAGAAGCAAGGTCACACAAACCTATGCCACTAGTACTTTAACCAACGGGGAGCTCGTACACATGCTAGTAAGCAAAAGCACAAAGCCAACTAAGCCTACTAGCAATGCTCAATAACATGGCAACCAATGCCAAATTAGAGAGCACAAATACTTAGCTACACAAACTAAGCAATGTGACTAACAAGGTTACAAAAACCAAATTAGCCATGCAAGGGAGCTACTTCTATGCTACACAAGCAAGAAGGTAACTAGTGAGCTACACAAGCTAACTAATTGCAAGATCAACTACACAAGCACAATGTATATGAAAGTAATAACAAGCTTGTGTAAAGGGATTGCAAACCAATGGGAAGAACAATGTTGACACGATGATTTTCTACCGAGGTTCACGTGCTTGCCAACACGCTACGTCCCCGTTGTGTCGACCGCTCACTTGGTGGTTCGGTGGCTAATTGGCATCACCCGCCAAGCCCGCACGTAGGGCACCACAAGACCTACCCCGAAAGTGAGGGTAGCTCAATGACACGCTCAACTAGAGTTGCTCTTCGTGGCTCCCGCGGGGCGAGCACAATGCCCCTCACAAAGCTCTTCTCCGGAGCACCGCATAAGCTACTTGTGGGCTTTGACGGAGACCACCACCAAGCCATCTAGGAGGTGGCAACCTCCAAGAATAACAAGCACCACCAGCTTGCAACTAGATCACCTAGTGCCACTCGATGCAACCTCACGATGCAATCACACTAGAATCGCTCTCTCACACAATCGGATGATCACTATCAAGCTTATGTGAGATGGAGGGCTCCCAAGCACCCTCAAGCATGGACACAAAGTCCCCTGAGGTGCTCAACATCAGCCATGGCCGAGACACCCTTCTATTTATAGCCCCACGGGCTAAACTAGCCGTTACCCCTTCATTGGGCAAAACTCAGGACGACCGGACGCGTCAGTCGAAACGACTGGATGTAGGACCTCAACGTCCAGTCAATGGATGCTTTCCATGTGTCGCCTTCATTCAACCTCAGTCGCTTGATCTCAATGGTCAAGTGATGACCGGACGTAGCCGCTCAAAGTGACCGAACGTAGGACCCCACCGTCGATCATTTCCAGTAAGGTTCTAGTCGCGACCGGACATGTCCGGTCGGTCACGATCGGACGTAGCATCAGCGTCCGGTCCTTCTCCAACTTTTCTGTGTCGCCTACGTCACCATACGTCAGCCTGACCGGACGCACCCTGCTAGCGTCTGGTCACTTTCAGCGCCAGCGTCTGGTCGAAGACTGACGCCTGCAAGCTCTTTGACACCACTGACCGGACGTAGGACGCCAGCGTCCGGTCACTATGTGACCAGCATCCGGTCCACTCTGTAGGACCCTATCTTTTCTGTATAGGGCGCCAGTGGCACCATCGGACTATTCGCACTGTATGGGCGGACACTCCGCCAGTGGAGTTAAGAACCCTTGCCTCTATTCCTTCGCCGAGTTGATCCACATCAACTCCAACTTCATCTCCTTTGTAAATGTGCCAACACCACCAAGTGTACACCACCATGTGTATGTGTGTTAGCATTATCACAAACATTTTCCAAAGGATTAGCCACTCAACTTGCCACGCCACTCAATCCTAGTGATGATGCAAAATTAGATCACTTGAGTGGCACTAGATGACCGATATGCAAACAAGTTTGACCCTCTTGATAGTACGGCCATCTATCCTAAACCCGATCATTAACTTCTCTACACACTTATGACAGGTAAAATGAAATGCCCTAGGTTATACCTTTGCCTTGCGCATTCCATTCCATCTCCTCCAATGTCGATGCAACACATGCACCAACACGATCAACAATGATATGATCCACTTCATATCATCACATGATCTTGTTGGTTCATCGATCTTGACCTCACTTGCTTTTCGCCGTTGCCTTCGTACATCAGCGCCAAGTCTTGCTCAAGCTTTACCGCCACGCGGTCCATCGCTCCAAAGCCTCCAACTTGCCCTTCATGCTTGCAACCGGTCCATCAAGCCAAGTCTTGTCTTGATCTTCTCCACCTTGATCACATGACTCAATGTCATGTCTCATTTGCAATGAGCTCCTTCATCATCACATGTGTGAGCTTTGCAACATCTCCAAGCCATTTTCACCTTCATGGCGTATGTTGCTCACACACATGTTCCTGTGGACTAATCACCTGTGTATCTCATATAAACACAATTAGTCCACATAGGTTGTCACTCAATTACCAAAACCACACAAGGACCTTTTAGTCTCCCACGCCCACTCCCAGCGGCGGCGGTTCGATCCTGTGAGGGAGTGTTTTTTCTGAAAAAAAATTGAAACACAATCCACTTCTTCCTCGCCCTGTCTTCCATCCATGATGGCGACTCCTCCGATTCCTCCCTCCCTCCCCCACGCATCTGCCGACGCCGACATCTGCATCATCGGCGGTGGCATCTCCGGCGCCTCCACCGCCTTCTTCCTCACCAACTACACCACCTCCCTCGCAGGAGCACAGCTGCGTGTCTTCGAGCGCCGTCACAAGGTGGGTGGCCGCCTCGGCACCGTAACTCACGCGGGCGACAGCTTCAGGCCGGGGGCTCCATCATCCACCCCCACAACCTCCACGCGTGCCGCTTCACCGACCTCCCAGGCCTCGCCGCCAAGGTCGGCGGCGACGACGATTGGCTAGGGATCTAGGACGGCAAAAGCTTCATCTTTCAGACACTCCGCCCACTGCCAACCAGCAGCTCCTGGTGGCGTCGCAAGCTGCACAGCCTCCTCAACTCGCTGCTGCTGCTCAAGCGATATGGCCTGTCCCTGCTCAAGATGGACAAGTTTGTCCAAGTTAATTCTTCCTTCTCTACCGTAATTATTCTTCCCCCACTCATGTCTAGGATGCACAGATTTGCACTTGGTCAGCCTGGTGCGGTATGCTGATCAGTTATTATAGTTACTATTAATTAAAATATTGAATGTAGGAAATCCTGCAACGGTTTATGCTCTTCTACAATGGCTTGGAGTCTCGCCCTGTCTTTGCCACGGTTGAGGAGATGTTCCAATGGATTGGTCTCCATGGCCTCACCCGCAGGACCCTTGAGGAGGAGCTGTTCGATGCCGGCCTCAACACCCAAACAATAGCAGAGCTTGTCACTGTATGCTTCTCCTCAATCCCTGACATTGTATTGTCTTTCCTCCTCTCAAGCCATATGCCATCTATGCTTCCATGGTTTAGTGGAATTTGAGCTAAATTAACTTCCTTGGTACCAGACAGTGACGATACTAATTGGCTCATGGTTTCTTCTAGAAGATGCTCTCTGTACTGTTTTTTACTAGTGAAATCCCATTTGATGTAGTTTCCCCCCAAAATGCATCATCTCTTTCTGATAAGTATAATCAATGTATTATTTCCCTCATAGGTTATCACGAGGATCAACTATGGCTAAAGCACACACATAAATGGCCTGGCTGGCGCCGTGTCTTTAGCTAGATCTGAGTCAGGATTATGGGCTGTCAAAGGGGGCAACTGGCAGCTAGCTGCTGGATTGCTCAAGACCTCTAATGCCACCTTGCATATTCAAGAAGGCATAGACTCGATCACTGATGCTGGGGATTACTATGTTCTGAGATCTAATACTAGGAGCGAATACAAATGTACGGTGACTGTGGTGGCAACACCACTTGATGAGGTGAACATCATGTTTAGCCCTCCAATCTCCATTCCACCGAGGAAGATGCAGCACACACACGCCACCTTTGTTAGAGGCCTATTGAACCCTGTAAGTGTTATGGTAGCATACTGCATACCTACCTATCTATTGCCATTCCTTTTGTAGATCCTAGCATCAACACACAGCAAAATGAACGAGTGGCGAGTAACTGATAGCATGTGAACTTGTTACTGATGAAAGCCTCTTTGACGCTTCCTTGGTTGGGGCGACTTACTGATGACAAGGCACTTGCCTTTTGCTGTATTCTATCTATGGTTGCAGGGATATTTTAGTGTAAACTCAGCATCAAATGTTCTAGAGCTAATTGGTACCCTAGAGCTCCCTGATATCCCTTTCTCGTGCATCTCAGTTCTGAAGAGGTACAACAAAGATGACATGGCCTGCAAGATGTTCTCACGTGCAAAGCTGGATGATGGTTTACTGGATCAGATCTTCAGGTACGTAGCAGTTTGATTATATTGAGTTAGTCGCCCAGATGAGATGAGGTTGGTAAGTTAATATGTGTTGTTGTATTTGTTGGAGAGCAGCGCGAGGAAAGAGACGATCCAGATAAACTGGGCTGCTTACCCACACTACGAAGCCCTAGAAGAGTTTGGTCCGATAGTGTTGGACGGGAAGCAGCTGTACTACATGAACACCTTTGAGAGCGCCACGAGCGCCATAGAGACGGGCGCCGTGGCATCAGAGAATGTGGCACGGCTCATCATTTCAAGGCTTTCTCTACCGCAGCGAGGAGTCGAGCCTGATGCTCCTCATATCAAGTCATTCGTGGAGCAGGAGGAAGAAGGATCCCAGCGTCGGCATGTAGACCTGTGATTCTGTGAAGCTGGGCTGGGATGTCCATGAACATCAATTGAACTGAACTCGATCTTATGGTTGGGTATCATGTAGATGGTAATTTATTGTAGTCAAACTGGTTTATGCTCTTTCTTTTTTTTTTTAAAAAGTCTAATAGTTCTGGTTGTCTGAAATCTCGCTCTCCCAGCAGGAGGTCAGTCGGCGTGAGGTTTTTTAGCACAAGATCCAGCAGGTCGTGGATTGGTAAGTTATTGCTACCTATTCTCTTCTGTTTGCACAAATGGATAATTCAAGGGCTGGTTTGTAGTGCTTGTAGATTTCAGCTCATGTTAAAAGGAATGATAACTCAGAAATACTACCAATTTTCCTAGAGTGAAATGTTAAAATTGTTGGTCTTCCCTTTGTTACATTGATATAGCCTTGTGTATGCTGCCAAATGCATTTATTTATCCTGAATTTCTAATGTCAAGGCTATCTGGTGATATGCTAGAAATACTACCCCTTTGTCAGATGGTTGCATGTGTTTGTGAGCCTCATAATCATTGACTCTGGTCACTAAAATTTTGACGACTTGTGTGAATTCCATGGTTTGCAGATAACTGAGATGAAGCTCCTTGTTGATAGCCTAGAGAAGGAGAGAGATTACTACTTCTCCAAGATGTTGTGTACCAAGAGTCATCTGGTTATATTTAATAAATTCTTATAAGCTTGTATTGTTCTGTAAAACTGGTTCAATCATATAACTGATGTGATGAATTATTATTTATTTGCTGATGCAGTATGTAAAGCTCATGACTTTGGCTTTGATCCACATGCTTGGATATATGTTGTGCACACTGCACCCCATATATGTTGTGACTGCCATGAATGACTGTCATGGCATTCTTGTTATCTGCTCCACTGATCCTATCTGTAGATGGCATCAAGTTTAGCCCATCATATCTACAGAGTGCTGTAAGTGTAGCCAGCTTGGAAAACAAGAAATATTACAATATTTTAACTCTTCACTGATTTGAAATTGCTGAATACTAAATTTACTACGTTTGCATGGAGTTAATATTAAAGAATTGTGTGTAAGAGTGGCACTTGCTGGCACATGTTGCAGTTTTTACCAGTAGGTGAGGCTGGAGCAAATGCTCATCTCCAGGAAATTAGGAGGCTTCCTCAGGAGGCCGCGGCTTTGCCGAGTGTTTTACACTCGGCAAAGAGCCCTTTGCACTCGGCAAAGAGCCCTTTGCACTCGGCAAAGGCTTTGCCGAGTGTAGCACTCGGCAAAGTCTGCTCGGCAAAAATTTTCTCGGCAAATGGTCTTTGCCGAGTGCTTTTTATCGGGGCACTCGACAAAATAAAAAAAATTTGCCGAGTGCTTGGGGCGGCACTCGGCAAAATATTTTCGGCCGTTGCGGCGCTAGCCGTTAACGGTTATTTTGCCGAGTGCCCGACCCAGCACTCGGCAAATTTTTTTTATTTTTAAAAAAAATACTTTGCCGAGTGGCCCAGCCCAGGCACTCGGCAAAGTTTTTTTTTATTTTTTTTTAAAAAAGTACTTTGCTGAGTGCCCCAGCCCAGGCACTCGGCAAAGTTTTTTTTATTTTTTTAAAAGTACTTTGCTGAGTGCCCCAGCCCAGGCACTCGGCAATGTTTTTTTATTTTTTTAAAAAAGTACTTTGCCGAGTGCCCCAGCCCAGGCTCTCGGCAAAGTTTTTTTATTTTTTTTAAAAAAGTACTTTGCCGAGTGCCCCTGCCCAGGCACTCGGCAAAGTTTTTTTTTATTTTTTTTTAAAAAGTACTTTGCCGAGTGCCCCAGCTCAGGCACTCGGCAAAGTTTTTTTTATTTTTTTTAAAAAAGTACTTTGCCGAGTGCCTGGGCAGGGGCACTCGGCAAAGTTTTTTTTTATTTTATTTTTAAATTACTATGCATAGAACATGCATTCTTATCTCTTTGAATTAGAAGCAAGAAACAATGAACATACTGAGAATATGGTGCTACAATATACCTTACTGTAGAATGATGATGCAGAAAAATAATCCTCTTTCTCAACTGCTTTGCTCCCTAGTGACTTCAGTGCTATTTTCCTTTTCTTCACATGATCCTGAGACAAATAATTTAAAATAAGGATGGCCGGAGTAATGTATGGGAAAACTCATTTTTATAGAAGTAAAGAAACTATACAGTACTCTTATGGAAAATTGGAAATGATTGAGGAAAACATGGTTTTGATTTTGCAAAACACATTTCCAATATTAGAGCTGGACTCATGGAGCTAAATTCACAGCAACATAACTCAGGTACAAGGTGCCATTGCTAAATTAGATAGCACCAGAGGGTAAGATAGTGACTAGTGAGTGCATAACATCATGGTAAAGCAATAAACTATGAACAAGAAACAAGCGGCATGCAGCCATTTATCAAGCAAAGAGGCCCCAAAGCTTGAAGCCTTGAACAGTACCACTTATCAAACTACTAATGGAGAAGACGTTAATCTTACATCATCAGGAACATTACTACTGGCAATAGCATCTAGTAAGAAATTTAAACACTCAGGTGAGCCCTCATTTCCAAGATTAGAATCAGTTAAAGAAGTTAAGACACAATCTGAACTGACATCAGCACCAGCCTGTCACAAAAAAGAAATGTTACAGTAAATACAGTTAACTGAAGCTATTGAAGTTCCCAAACAACCAAAGTGCAGTTATAGGAGTTGACAAAGCTAAAGTCAAAGTACAATACCTCAACCAGGAGCTTCACACATTTCACTGATGAAACATTTATAGCCTGAAAGAGGGGTGTCATACCATACAGTCCATATATCATGTATGTCTTGTTGCACTAGTGTGAGATGCAAAGCACATTAGTTGCTGCAGTATTGATGATAATAACTGGAGGAGTGAAAATACAAAACAGAATGGCAAACATATATAACCATATATCTAGTCAAGCTTTCAGCAAAAAAACAGCTTCTGTGATATTGTAGTTTGCAAGAACAAAGAAAGTACAACATCGGCACATAGTTGCCTGTGGTATACTTATTGGTCAAATTTTTGACCAGTAGATTTTTCTTATTCAGTTTCATATGGGACTCGCATAAGAGTGACATATATATGATAGAAAGTGAACGATTACAACAATTATATCTTCCTCTTGTGATCCCTTCTTACCTCCTAGTGGAGATAAGTAGGTCGCAATGTACGGGGTTCTTCTTCCCTTTCTCTCTCTCTCTTGAATATAAAGATACACAGCTCTCCTGCTTGTTCGAGAAAGAAAAATTATGACAAATACATAAAAGGGCAATGCATCCAGAAGAATTTGTCCAATGCATGTAAATTGGCACTTAGGAAACTACACATACATGATAGCATGTACTGAAGACTTCCATAGAGAAACAGTCTTGATCCTGATAGAACATTGAGTATTGCTCTCGTGTATGGAAGGAGATCAGGGGGTAAGGTTCAAGCTATTGATTTGAGAATGCCATTATGAATATTAAAAAGAAGGAATGAGATACTTTCTTATATAATGAGATACTAGGAGTAGTAGTAGTAGTAGTAATAGTAGATAGTAGTAGTACACTAGGAGTAGTAATAGTAGATATCAGTATGCAGTAGTAGTAGGGTAGTAGAATAGTAGCAGGGGAGTAGTAGTACATATTTGGCTCAGATTTGCCCCATTGTAATCACATAGCCTCTAAATTGGTTGCTTGTATATGGTATGCAAGCCATCCTAGTTTAGCGGCTCACAAGTATGGGGACATTTCATCATCATTGCCGCTGCCTCAGCATACAAAGTTTCACATCATTGCATATGACATTGCCTCAGTACAATTGGTTTAGAAGTTTGAACAAATTCATCATTGCAAATGCCACAAATTCAGTTAGTAGATAGAGAAGCAAATAGTAGTAGTAAGCAACTTAAAATTTGGCATTTTCTCAGAAAAAATTGGCATCATAGGCATTGGCATTTGCTCAGAACAAATTAGCATCATAGGCAATGGCATATGCTAAGCATTCCAAAAATTGGCATCACAGGCAGCAATGGAAGCTAACTGAGCTTAGCAATGGAAATCCAAAATTCCAAAAATTGCATAACATTAGCTAGGGTTCGTCATCTACATCACCAACCAACAGGAGTAGTAATAGTAGATATCAGTATGCAGTAGTAGTAGGAATTCAGTGAGTAGTAGATAGCAGTACAAATAGTAGGAAATATCAGTAGGGTAGTAGAGAGCAACAGCCAGCCAACACCATTAGTAGTAGTAGTAGTAGAGACTAGATAGAGTAGTAGAAATAGGAGCTAATAGCAGTAGGAGTAGTACATGAAGTAGCAGCAGTAGTAGTAATAGTAGTAATAGTAGATATCAGTAGTTGTAGCAGTAGACAGATTAAATGCATAAACATGTTTGTTTGTAAATAATTACTCTCAAAATAGCGGGTTGCTGCACCAAGCAGCCTTCCGACGCTTGTTGGTGATCATTGATCCACTAATGTGACAGCCCTTCTTACCAAAATAACAGGTTCTAGATCAAAAATTAAGTGCCTAGAAAAATAGCAATATAACCAGGAAAATAAGTTAGTAAAGATTAGTACAAAATAGGTTATATGCTCATAGGATTAACCAACTGATCAACTAATAAGAAGTTCAAATTAATAGATAAATTGCTAGGCAAATAATTAAACAGTGCTGAAAATAATCAACACTCTAGAATCCGGCTGTCACGTTGTCTCACTACACCTCTTTGTATCATCGAGCAACAAATTAGTTCGCCCAATAGTGCAATCACACCCAAGTTATAGAAACTAGCAGATTGCGCATTAAAAAATAATAGAGGCATCATATGCAGCTATAGAATTAATCACAGGCATCACATAGGCAACAAGAAAAGGGGATCCAAAACCTGCAGGGAGGAAGAAAAGGGGATCCAAAACCTGCTAGGGTTCGGGCTCCATACGCGGAGGAGGAAGAAGACGGACGAAGGGACGCCGAGCAGGAGGAAGACGGCGCGGGGAAGGAAGAAGACGGT